GTTTTGTCTTCATCTCCTATACCTTATCTTTCCAACTAGTGAAAAGGGTATATTTAGAGAGATGGGGAATCATAGAGATCTGTCTGGCTTTCGCTTCAAGACTGGATTCAGAAACTATTCGAGTTAATAGAAACGTACGTATGACTCTAGTGCTCACTCTGGGAAACTGTAGGGGTTCCAAGAAATATGAAGTCAACCTTCATGGTTTGGACTAGCCCTCATTTACCTCTGAGCATGTGGAGAGCGTGAGGAGGGTGATTAACAGGGTACATTGGGTGCGGTTTGCTCATGGTGTTGCCTTGTTGATTTCAGGATTTTGGAAGATCCAACGTGCATCCGTGTGGTAGTCAGGTTCTCCCGCCAACCAGCACCTGGGAAGAAACCGGTTTGTGTTGACCAGCCATTGCCTGATATGTCCGACTGTTTTTGAAATTCACACCCACCAGTCTCTGGGAAGTTGATTGTTATTCGATCAATCCTAGGGGTCGTCTTAATCGTACGGAGAGGTTTTGAGTAACGGGACAAGGCAGAAGTCTACCTTCTGGCACCCTGAGGAGCTGTAGGATCCGACCAGATAAGTCCGAGTTAACATCACGTTAGCGGCCTAAGTCCAGATGTGCCTTCGTAGTCTGTATCAGCTCTCCGTGCCATGATGATCATGGAAATGGATGTGGCGATGTAGGAGGACGCTTTCTCTAGTCTCAGTTCTTCAAAGACTTGAACAATCGTTTTTATTCTTCGTGCTATTTTTCTTCTGCCTTGTTATAGTGCATTTATTACATAGGAGTTTTAGTTCATCAGACTTCTTGTTCTTATAAAAGTTTGGTTTTAATGGAATTGATTGTCGTAGTCAGAAAGGTGTCCATGTCTTGTCCTACTCACTGTTGTTTATATATTTGACTGTGTTACGTTGTTTACTAGTCTGGGGGCAAATTTAGTAATGGGGATGTCTGACCGAGAGGTACCCAAGAGTTCATAGTAACCCTGTGAAGTCAGAGCTCGAGTCACCTCATTCCTGAGATAGGCTGAATGGAAGTTTGAACCGAGGGTTAGACAAACGAGAGCCACCATTCAGAAGACCCCTGTCTTCAGAGCACCTGAGGGGTTTTGGAAAATAATCGTCAAGTAAAGGTGTGCGACAAAACTGCCATACGACACTGCCCACGATCTGCCCCTGCCTTTCCTTGAGAACTGACTAGTCTTCAGCCAAGGGTTGCCCTGGATGTGTTCTCCAGTTGGCAACACCTGTAGATAAGGCTACTAACAAATACAACACACACGCTATGTCTACGAAACTACCTAAGAAAGGCTAATCGGTGAAAAAATGCCTATAAAGTCAGATGTATCGTCCACAAGGCGCAATTATCGCAGCTATGCTGTAAACAGTCGCATCGCAATTTCATCACTCAAACGAACCAAAAAAAAAAAAAAAAAAAAGAAGACAGTAACTCTTTATGTCTAAACGGCAGGTTCATCTATTCTTTTTTAGCTCAGCTCTTCGGGATTAATGCGTTATACTAATAATTGCCTGGGACTCAATGAGTCTTTAAAAAAAAAAGTGACGCACCCTTCTTGCGTCATTGCTACATCGGGTATATAATACAAGACTGAAATTTATGTACAGACCAAGCGGTGCTCAACTGCTGATGTAGTCAACACCATGCCGACCTTTTTAATTCCAAGAACATATTCTGATTCCCATTTTAGCTTAGGGTTGACCCGAGAGCCCATGTCATTTGTAGAAAATAAATCTGACTAATTGGATGTTCTACCCAATACCCATGACCTAGAGGTGGCAGGCGTTTGTTCTTTCGTAGTTTGGGAGATTAAAAAAAAAAAAAATCTGACCGTGATCAACCCCGCTGAGAATAGCTTTGGTATATTTATGGTCTGATTTTATTTGCGCCACGTTTAAATTGTTTGTTGTGCCAGGCGGGCGGCGTACTGGTCCTAGCAACGTGTGAAGCTGTGACGCTGGGTAAGTCCATGTCTTACTGTTTGATCCTGTATTCCAGATATAGATTCCGTATTTAGATGCCATTATCCCGTCTCCTGTATGGTTGCATTTTTTATATTCCGTGTGGTAGTTTCTTTCCTGTCTTTGGACATCTGGACATCATCTGTGTCCTTGTTATATGTGAGTCTGCCCCTGTTATGAAATCCTTATATGGGTCGGCCCTATCGCGTTTCCATACTGTATTCTGATCTTCCCCGCCAAAAATCAAGGTTATCCCTAAAACTATTTGTTCATGATTGATCTTACTGTCTCGAAATTTGCAGTGAGTTAATGCCAAACTTGATATCAATCAAATCACAGTTTGAAATACGAACAGCAGGCAGGTTCCAACAGCTTCTCTACACCACCATCGTAACGATTGATGAAAACAGAGCCACTCTTCAGGATTGTGCACCATCACATTTATCAGCACGCACAAGCACCGTCAACTACACCACGTTAGCTCATACTTACACTGTAAGCCACCAAAGAGGCCACCGAACATAGCGATGTAATAATCCTGCCTGGCCCTGCCCTCCGGTGAAGCTAACATTGTGGAGTTGGTCACTAGCGGGTCTTGTGTCCATTCAGTTAAGAAAAAGCTTGACCAAATTACAATGGCTGTTGACAGAAGGATGTATATGTCCCAGTGAGTGATGAGAATGCTCGGCCTAATTAAATGGATGTTAACAGAAGTGTGTAGTGAGCAATGCTTACATTATTAAACAAAAGTTTAACACATACAAGCTAAACATTTGGCACGCACCGCAGGCGTGTTGATGACGAATGTGAATTTGATAGAAATTAAGCTAACATTGCCTCAGTTGGCCACTTATGGAAAAGTAGCTAACATTGCCTTAGATGGCCACTTATGGAAACTGTCCATTGAGTTAACTCTTTCAGTCTCAAGCAACGTGTGATGTGTAACTGGCTATTCCCAGCGTGCCTCAGCTTGTCTTGGCTATCCCATTGTATTCCATTTGGGTACCATTTTATACTACTTTATATCTAGTTCCAGCGTGTCCCATTTGTTTTTGTTTTTGTTAACCCATTCTTTACAAAAGATTTTTTTTTAAGCACATACATGTTTCCATGTGAAGAAAGTTATTTTTTCTATCTCTAGCAATTGTTGTCTAAGTAACTTCAACTTTTATTGCAACAACCAAAAAATAATATGTAAATGTACTCAAAACTTTACTCAAAAGTAGGAAACCGTTGGATAGACCGTGCTGAAGTGCATACCGAAACAGTTAACAAAATACAGAGACCTTTTTAATTCCTTGGCGCACTGTATACTGTGCTAGACGCAGGAATTTAGAGATTAATCGGCATGCGACGGGTGATTTGATTACCATAAAGTTGGCCGCTTTTAATTCCCGGAACATTTTCGGAAACCGGGGTCCACGCTGAAGCCCAGGACAATTATTTAAAACAATCAATTCCAATGCAGATCGAACCCAACACCTTCGGGGCCGTGAATAACCTGATATTGACTAAATGAACCCCAGAAAGAGCTGACCTTGAATGTATATCGTTGCAACCAGAAAGGCCAGACTTGATCTTTCACACATAAAGCGGAAAATCTACAAAGACAATGTGTTCACGTGGGTGGAAAAATGACTTCTGTGATAAAGGTTTGATGTCAGACCTTCATTTGTCTAATGCCAGTGTTTCTAAGATCCCCAGGGGTCATTGTTGGAGCTACGTAGTTATCACTCCCGGGCTATTTATTCTTAGGCCCAACGTGTCATTTCATTCCATTGGCAAGACATCAACGTGGCTGCTTCGGAATCCGTCAGTTAAGTGATTTTGTGAATTCGTGTGATTTTGTTTGATTCATGTATGTGCTTTTTTATCTTTCTGTGACGTCTTTTATGCGAGGTCGGACTGCCCATGCTTATCGATTGCTCCATCAGTTTGTCAGCTCCGGGCAGCTACCTACAAGATAAGCACACCTAAGATGTAAAAGTCTTAGTCAGACAACCAAGGTAGATCCCAGATATCCCGTTTAACCTCCAAAGAAGTTATAATTTGGGTATTCCCAGCAATAAGTCAAGCCAGGTGTAACATGCAGTCATATCAGGGTAAAAACGTCAAGTCTGCGGAGAAACACCGGAATATAAGATCTCCATAAATGACCTCTACATATTAAAACATCGGCTTAGACGTTGCGAACGCACTTCGTAATGCCGGGATCCTGGGTCCGATCCCAGCTGCAGGCCTTGCGCCTTCAGGGGGTTTCAAAAAAGGTCCAGTAGCAATGGCAAACTACTAAACGTCAATTTGCCTAGAAACACTACAAGACCCCCCCCCCTCCCAACATACCCCCCCCCCCCCCCCCCACATACCCCCCCCCCCCCCCAAAGCTGGATTTGGTTCTGCAACGTCCTGTAAAGGAGAAGCAACTAGCTCAGTGACTTGTGGGATTAAAAGGTCGTTATTGTCAGGTACATAAATGCATATCGTTGACGGTTAGACAGAGAATTCTTGCATGCTATATACAGCCAGTTTTAACATACGGCTGTGAATCCTGGACAATTAATAAACTAGCCAAACAATTTCTCGAGAACTTGGAGATGTGGTTTAAACAAAGAATCCGTAGAATTCTTTAAAGAGCCAGAAAGAGCAACCCAAATGTTTTGGAGGAGGCGAGGGCTCAAAGACAACTGATAACAAACATCAGAAAAAGACAGTCATAATTTTTTGTTATATTATGAGAAGAAGGCAACTGGTACATGCTGTGACAACTGGAAAGATTTGTGGAAAAAGAGACAGAGGAAGATAGCGCGAGAAGATGACTGCGTTTTCATGGCAAAGAGGGGTGTCAATACAAGTATTGATATATGCAGTTGCAGATCGCAGATTGTGGAAAGACATGATTGCCCACGCCAGTAGGCAAGGCACTTGACGATGACGCTGATGATTTGTCAAGCACCAGAGGAACAATAATGTAATAAACAATACTTTCAATCACGTGTAGACATTGTATTAGTGGGGCACTCACCTCTGTTAAAGAGAAAAACTAGAAATGCTATCAACAAAACACACAAGCCTGCTGCCCGTCCAAAAGTGAGGAACACATCTGTCTTCACCTAAGATAACATGGCAAGATGGACAAACAGCAGTCTGAGAGAGTATAAAACAACTGATACACAAGATAGGATAACATGACAAGATAGACAAACAGCAGTCTGAGAGAGTATAAAACAACTGATACACAAGATAGGATAACATGACAAGATAGACAAACAGCAGTCTGAGAGAGTATAAAACAACTGATACACAAGATAGGATAACATGGCAAGATGGACAAACAACAGTCTGAGAGAGTATAAAACAAGTGATATACAAGATAGGATAACATGGCAAGATGAACAAACAGCAGTCTGAGAGAGTATAAAACAAGTGATACACAAGATAGGATAACATGGCAAGATGAACAAACAGCAGTCTGAGAGAGTGTAAAACAAGTGATATACAAGATAGGATAACATGGCAAGATGAACAAACAGCAGTCTGAGAGAGTGTAAAACAAGTGATATACAAGATAGGATAACATGGCAAGATGGACAAACAGCAGTCTGAGAGAGTGTAAAACAAGTGATATACAAGATTGGATAACATGACAAGACGAACAAACAGCAGTCTGAGAGAGTATAAAACAAGCGATATACAAGATTGGATAACATGGCAAGATGGACAAACAGCAGTCTGAGAGAGTATAAAACAAGTGATACACAAGAAAGGATAGAATGGCAAGATGGACAAACAACAGTCTGAGAGAGTATAAAACAAGTGATACACAAGATAGGATAAAATGGCAAGATAGACAAACAGCATTCTGAGAGAGTATAAAACAACTGATACACAAGAAAGGATAAAATGGCAAGATGAACAAACAGCAGTCTGAGAGAGTGTAAAACAAGTGATACACAAGATAGGATAACATGGCAAGATGAACAAACAGCAGTCTGAGAGAGTGTAAAACAAGTGATACACAAGATAGGATAACATGGCAAGATGAACAAACAGCAGTCTGAGAGAGTGTAAAACAAGTGATACACAAGATAGGATAACATGGCAAGATGGACAAACAACAGTCTGAGAGAGTGTAAAACAAGTGATACACAAGATAGGACAACATGGCAAGATGGACAAACAACAGTCTGAGAGAGTGTAAAACAAGTGATACACAAGATAGGATAACATGACAAGATAGACAAACAGCAGTCTGAGAGAGTTTAAAACAAGTGATACACAAGATAGGATAAAATGGCAAGATGGACAAACAGCATTCTGAGAGAGTATAAAACAAGTGATACACAAGATAGGATAACATGACAAGACAGACAAACAGCAGTATGAGAGAGTATAAAGCGAAAACAACAGACACAATCTGCTAGAGAACCACTGCAGCCAACCTCAATTGTGGAGATAGCACCTGTTTTAATAACAAGTCTTTTATCTAGACGTATTTAACGTTAATATGATAACAGTGATTCTAACACCGCTTTCATGTACACGTTGTACACATTTTCCTATCACTCTAGGCACCACACTCCTTACACTCAGAGTTTCAAGTGTCGTGGGAATTAATAGTGGTCTCTTGAAGAAAAGCGCTATGCAAATCTACAAGGTCTTTGATGGGGTCAGTCTATTCTTGGGCGGCCTCCTGAATATGTATAAGAGCTTCGTAAATGTGCGCAATGTTTCTGATTGGTTTATTATTTGTTTGCATACTAACAAAATACCACAACAACATTATTGTCTCTTTGTCGATGTATTTGAGGTAGATGTATTTGACCCAGTGAGCTATAATTTTCTTTTGCAACAAAAAGACAACATACAGACGTTTGCCTTTATATTCTGCTTCATCTTCTTTAAACAAGTCTAATATTTTCCAGTTCTTACCCTTCCTGTCTGTAGGGTTTCTTCCACTATAAGCTTGCCTTCTCTTGCGTCTAGGGTTGTGATGCCGGTAGCGTCAGGTGACTCCCCAACACCGGAGTCACGAACGTGGCAGGTATTACCGCTGAAACACAACCAGTGTTATTAGCAAGATTGACACCGATGAATACACTATCTCTACAAAAGTTTCAAACACGTTTTGGTATAAGCATTCCTGTTTGGATATTTTTCTGGACTTTAGTGACAGCGAAGTAAATAAAACCTAACAAGTAAATATCAGCAACTGTTAACCCAACCTGTCTCAACGTGCTGTAAAGAAAGTCTGGTTTCATACCGCGAAGCATAAAACATGTACGTTTTCATATTTACAATCCTGCCATGAATAGACATCTGGTTATTTTACCGACAGAAAGCTGTAGTGACCGCCTCCACCTAATTTTTGAAAGTAGACGTTATACTAAAAATACCGATAATGATATTGACGTGATAATTACAACAATGCTAAAACTACAACACATTATCAGTGCTTTACAGAGTATCCCATATTATAGTATTCTTTGACATTTCTTCACATGCCTTGCGAGGCCTTTACGATTTTGACATGTTGGTTGTTCAGCCGACAAAAAATGCAGTGACCACCTACTCCTCATTCTGAGGGTAGACATTAAGCTGATGATAATGATGAGGATGACACTGAGGCGATAATTACAACAATGCTAAAGCAACAACAAAATATCAGTTCTGCATGTCCAAAATCAAAAATTAATGTTTTACTTGTCCAAAAACAAAGTATCCCATATTATAGTGTTCTTGGACATTCTGCGCTCGCCGCCTTTGATCTCGTCTTCCTCGTGTTCTTTGGTGGATGCCTCACTTTGATCTGTACGTGCAAAGAAAATAAAAAAAGTTTAAAAAAAAACAAAAAAAAACCAACAATACAAACAACATAAAATATAATTCGAATAAAATCTAACTTAAACAAAGATGTTGGCCAAATGGTTGGTGCTTTTCGTCTTTCCTGCTGATAGTGTTCACTGTGCTACAGGGAGGCACAGGAATCACCGCCCGTGGCGAGGGCGAGTGTGACTAGCAAATCTAACATGCAGTTGAGAAGAATCTTCCACAATCGGTGCATGGGATTTCAGGACTATAATTGCCCTCATATGTAATTGACATGTTTCTTCTCAGACGCTAACTCGACAATTGTGTTCCTTTTTGTCCCTATTCTTTTGCTAATGCCCTCCCTCCTTTTTCCCCTCCCCCTTTTCTTTTCTCCATGCAATTATATTCATGGTATTAGCAGTATACTCAATAAAGAATAACTCCAAGTAAGGATAAGTATAACCCCATTTAACCTATGAAATATATTTTCACAAATGTTTAGAACTTATCTTTTCCACATTGCGGTGACCATTTAAACAGTGACTCGAACATGTTTATAGAAGTACTCACGATTTTTGTCTGCGGTAGTTGCCTCTACCTCACTGTCATCATTCTGGTTGTCGGTGTCATTGCTGTACTCTTGGAGAAACTTGGCGAAGGGTCCGTTGTGTGAGACTAGTTCATTGTATGAACCCTGCTCGGAGATACGACCGTTCATGAGAACAAAGACTCGGTCCACCTGAGATAGCCAGTTGATGCCATGTGTCACAAGAATACGAGTCTGTGTGGAGAGAACATCGTGGACTGAGAATATACACTGTTAAATTGTGTGGAGAAACGCATACTGAAATATACTGTGTTAAACTGTGGAATTAACATTGCCGGTGGACAGATTTACTATATGTTGAAATGTATAAAGAAAACAATATGGAAAGTGTTTCCTGTAAACTATTTTGGGTTAATGTGTTGAAAGATCACTATGTGAATAACAACATCGAACGTGAGATTTGTTGTGTTAAATTAGGTGAAGAGAACACGCTGAGAACAACATGTGAGGTGAGATTACTCTGGTAATGTCTGATGAGATGAGTATAAGAATTATATCTGTTGCGAAAAATTGTATGTTATTGTGTGCAAAAAACACCATAAGAACAAAGTCAATGCTAATATATATTGTACTATTATGAGGAGAGACCACCATATGAACACACAGCGCAGATATATATTATACTTTTGTGCGGAGATATTTATCTACAGCTTTAAGCATGAGGATGGAGGTGGTGGCAGTAGCTGCAACCAGAAGAATTAGAGTGACCGAATCTCAGTGTCTGCGGCGGAACTCTAAACAATAGAGAACAAAAAAATGGTGGCGTGAGCGGATATCAAGCATAAGTATGTCAAAATTACAAAGACTCACGTGCATGTACTGTCTGTAAGATGCAAGAGTGGGAGGAAATGTGGGAGCGGATTTTCTGGCTACAAACTCAGTAGCTACATGAACACTCGTATATGACAAAGTAAATATTCTGAAGATCATCTATAAACGAATGCTGACAGAAAACACGAGGTTATATAAAATATCATGTGAAGAACGTCTGAACAAAGAATTAGGTGTTGGTCGGGAAAGGAGACGTATGAGAGGGAGAGATTTTATAATCAGCTTAATACGGAAACAGTTAGCATCCAAAGCTTAAGGTATTTGCTGCGGAGCACTTATGGGTATGCCCGGTGTGCTATGATGTCAATTCTTAAATCAAAAGATCAGTATTGTGTGGAGAAAACACCATAAGCACAAACATATCACCCGTGGCAGAACGGCTAGACTCGCGCCGCGGATCGGAATGTCGTGGGTTCGCTCCCTGGCGGAGCTTGACTTTTCTTCAAAAATGACCTTGGCTCCCAAGTCGACCCAGCCTCGAGTGTGTACTGGGTGCAGTCCCGGGAAGTAGAGGCGCCCAGCGTGATGCTGACCACATTACCCATCTTGTGCCGTTGATCTATAAAATATAGGTCTAGCCCTATATGCCCTATACGCCTAAAGGCGTGAAAAAGGGTCCTTATATGTAAAAACATAGCACCGATATATAGTGTGTGCCCGGCTCTCTAGCGCAGTTGGCTAAACCGGATTGCGCGGTGAGCGGGTGACGAACTTCTTGTGGTCCGGGTTCACTCCCGGGGGTAGGCAGAAAAGCCACATTTATCCCAGATATATGGTATTTGCAATGGAATCAAGGCCGACAGGTTGCGATATCCAGAATACCGAGCCTAAGGGTTAACAACTCATGGCTTCTGGATACTAAAACAAACAAACATATATAGTGTGTTAGTGTAGGGAGACAATACAATGAGAACATACTTAGCGCTGACATATCTTGTATGTTAGTGTGTAAAGAGAAAACTACGAGAGCAGACTTTGCCTTGATATATAATGTATTACTGTGTGGTGAAAAAACACGAGCACAAACTTAGAGCTCATATGTATTGTATCAGTGTGTGCTTAAGACGCTATGAGAACAAACGTAGTGCTGACATTTAACTATTTATTGTGTGAATCGAACACGATCAGAACAAACTTAGTGCCGACGTATATTCTATTATTATGTGGAGGGAACACCCTGAGAACAAACTTATCGCTGATATGTACTGTGTTCGTGTGCGGAGAAAGCACTATTGGAACAAACTTATGGATGGTATATAATGTATTTATGTTGTGAGGGAACACCACGAGAACAACCAGCCTTGATATACATAGTATTATTGTGTTGTGTAAACAAAATTAGAGCAAGCTTAGCGCTGATATATATTGTATTATTGTGTGGTAACAAAAAAACGAAAATAAATGTAGCGCCGACATAAACATTTTTCGTGGGGAGAAAACACTATAACAACAAACAAAAGGCTGATATATATTGTATTACTGTGTCTGTGGAACACAATGAGAACAAACTTAGAGCTGATTTATAATGCATTATTTTCATTGCTCCATGTAGACAAATCTACTAGAGTTGCCACAATGTTGTTGCGCAGAAAAATAGCTTGTTCATGGTGTTTTCTATTGTAAAATGCTTTAAAGTAAACTTTATTTCTTCATCATTCTCCGTGGAAGAACTACGCGACTAGGCCTAGGCTCTTGTGATACAGATAGCGTTATTGACTTAGTTCTTGTTACCCCAAACTCTGGTCCTCCATCTGTCAATGGAACATCCTTAGCTACAATGGGAGTGACCATCTTCCATGTGTATTGCTGCTAAAGAAACGCAAACTATTACCCCAACTGCTACAAGGAAACATTATATATAAAAATACTGACAGTAACATCACTAGCAGAATCAGAAAATCAGCTGCCAAAATCATCCGATAGATCGTGGCGCGGTGATTTATGTCACAGGCGTGAGGGGAAGTTAAGTCCAACATGATGTGTATAAGGAGATATTCCGTACGTCACTCGGGCGCCAGTCCTGAACTATCCTGGTTGTACGGAACCTCACGCAAGACCCCTACAGCACGTCCTCGTCGTGCGCCACGGATAATGTCTCAAATGAGCATTAACAGAGCTGTCAGGGGATCTCGGAGTTCGGCGGCCCCCAGAGGTGATGTGTCCTTGTGGCTCTCATCAGCCCGCCCCCAAACGCTTGGGTGAAAAATGTTATCAAAACTCATTAGGAACATGAGTAGGTTTGCCAAACGTACAGCCAAAATTACAACCCTTGGTTAAAAGACTGCGGAGTAAAGAGAACATTGTTCACTGCACATCCTCTGTTAACCCTCAGTGTCGTCGTCACCGCGCTGAGGTACACCACAACAGCAACCATCCATAGGCTGGCCATCCTTGTACATCCTTGGTTAACCCCCAGTGTCGTCGTCACCGCGCTGAGGTACACCACAACAGCAACCATCCATAGGCTGGCCATTCATGTACATCCTCGGTTAACCCTCAGTGTCGTCGACACCGCGCTGAGGTACACCACAACAGCAACCATCCTAATTGTCCGACAAAACTAGATCATACGGATCAAAATCTGACCATCAAAATTTGTATTGAACTGAAAAAGACGGAATGTCCACACCAAAAGACCCCACTCGCCCGAGTGTTGGGACAAAACTGATAACGATATGCCTGATGCAGGATGTAAAATTCTGTCGGGCTAACGGCTCGTCAAAGAAATCTAACGTGCGAAGAAAAAAGAATGTACCTATCTGTGTGGTCACAAAAGTCCAAAACCCACGGGCTGCTCCCCGCTGACTTCCAGAGGGCGCAGCCCCTGTCGAGCGGGAGGCCTGATACGGTTGTGAGGTTAAGCAGGCATTTGCAGGACGTGACGATTCCTTGGGTGAGCCCAGAACCAGAGCGCCATGTGCCGGCTCTGCATGCATGGAAGCCTCCTTGGATGGCGGGGAATGCCCATGATCTGCTCCTGCCTTCCCTTGAGGGCTAACTGTTCCACAGGGGGCTGCCCCAAAGGGGTACTCCGAGGGCAATACCTGCGGAGGAGACAAAGTGGACACCACACAAATCAGGCAACGTCTCGACCCACACAAAACAATGGCCACAGTCAACCTAGAAATAGGCCTGACGTCTTCCTTCGAAGTCGGAGTACAGCTGCCCATGAGGCAGGGAAATGAAAAACGGTTGTACACGCAAAAATCAGGTCCAGGTGAAAGCCAAAAGTCAAAGCGGACGATTAACCGGGACCTTCCACTGGAATTCACAGCCGGTGATCGATTAAAAAAAAAAAAAATCCGATAGATCACATAGACCACAACCTCAATGGTGGACATGGAAGCTGAGAAATGCTGGCAAACAAAGATGAAGGCAGTCAGAGAATGGTAAACAGCACGGAATTCTCCATAGTGATGTTATATGTGAGATATTAAAAGCCTTCTTAAAGTCAATATTAAAAGCCTTCTTAAAGTCAATATTAAAAGCCTTCTTAAAGTCAATATTAAAAGCCTTCTTAAAGTCAATATTAAAAGCCTTCTTAAAGTCAATATTAAAAGCCTTCTTAAAGTCAATATTAAAAGCCTTCTTAAAGTCAATATTAAAAGCCTTCTTAAAGTCAATATTAAAAGCCTTCCTAAAGTCAACGAAATTCAAAATTCTGTTGTTTTTCTATAAACTCCTTAAAATTAGGAAGCTGCACGGTCTCGAAGCATGGTGTCCGCCTCAAGTGCTAGAGGTTCTGGTTTCAATTCCCGGTAAGGGCTTGGATTTTTTCACGTGGACTTGGACTTTCTAGTAATTTGCCATGGTCTCTGGGTAGTGAAATCGGACCCCCGTGTGCATTGTTGAGCACGTAAAAATACCTTGGCAGTTGGAAATTAGAAAGAGTAGCCTAACGGGCAAAATTTGGAGTTTAAAATCTACCTACAGTATTTCAGAATCCTCGCTGGTGTTACAGAGCCTGTGCACTCTACTGAGCTTCTTTGGACTCAGACAAGTTAGAAAAAGGACGGAGCACTTATGGGTAACACCCGTGTGCCATGATGTTGATCCGTTATTTAAAAACTCAAAACCTCAAATTCCTCAACAACAGCAACAACAACAACAACAACAAAACAACAAAAGTATCAGAGCGAATATTAAATCTAAGCAGATTCTTCTAGGTGGAAAACATGTTTGTTCCTTTCTCAGGATTTTGTCCACTACCCATTTAATTCTACTGAGAATTTTTTTTACAAGTCTTCGACATTACTGAAAACAGATTAATTGCTCTCTAATTATTACAGTGAGTAAGGTTACCTTTTATGATAACATATAACTTTTTTAATCAACACATGCACAGCTAAATAAAGAAACAAAATGAGAACACACGTTGACTGAAAACAATAATTTTCATTAATGAACAATACCCGTCCAGCCAGAAGTCCCTTGCTGCTGAGCACGTTCTCAAAGATGGCTTTCCCCACGTGAGCGTCGACCGCACTAAGAGGGTCATCAAACAAATAAATGTCCAACTGGCTGTAAACTGCCCTAGCTAGGCTCACGCGCTGCTTCTGTCCGCCGCTCAGGTTGATGCCCTGCAACAGGTCGTTCACACAGTTACACCAGCAGGTGATGACTGGCTTTTATAGAAAGCTTTATATCTGTATTCACTGTGTGGGTTCTGTGACTCTATTTTAGAAAGGATTTGCAGAAGAATGTACCAACCGCCCTTAACACGTATGTCGTAAAAGGCTATTCACTAGAATGTTCCTGAAAGTTGGATGTGTTGAGCCGAATATTGTAGTCTAGCTGTAAGCCACAACACGGTGTACTTAACACTTTCTGATGGCGATCTTTGAAGAAGAAGAAGAAGAAGAAGAAGAAGAAGAAGAAGAAGAAGAAGAAGAAGAAGAAGAAGAAGAAGAAGAAGAAGAAGAAGAAGAAGAAGAAGAGGAAGAAGAAGAAGAAGAAGAAGAAGAAGAAGAAAAAGAAGAAGCAAAAAAATTGTTATTGTCTTATAATTCACAAGGGGAGCTGCCGTCCTGTAGCGGCTAAATGATCGTCTACTGATTAGAAGGTCGTGGGTTCAGGCCTGAGAGCTAGACTTAAAATAAAATGAGACTGGCTCCCAGGATGGTCAAAGCCCTAAATAAGGACCAAGTGAAGTCGTGGGAAGTAAAGGCAGTCAGGCTCATGCTGACAACATCACAGACCGAACGCAGGTTGGTCTACAAACTATAAATCTAGCCCTACATGCCCAATACGCCTGAAAGCGTGGAAAAAGGTCTTTAGATAAAGCACAAATACAGCCAGAAAAACGTTAGGGGGTCCAGGAGATGTGGATATCATCATTATCATCATCTCGTCGTCGCTATCATCATTATTATCTGTTGAGTCATTATATATCCCAGAAGGCTCAACGCTCCTCCCCCCTCCCCCAGTTCACCCTATCCTGCGCAGTGCTCTTGATTTCGTCGATGGTATCCAATCCAGCAGCTACTTCTATCATTGACATTTGTTTATGGGTCCTCGTTTCCTCAATCCATTTGTTTCCCATTTCAGTATCTTCAGGTGGTTTTCTGCTAGCTTCTTCTCATGATGTGGCCTATACAAGGCCATTTTTTTTTTAAACTGTTAATAACAGTTGTAATTCACATTTATTTTATTTCTTTACCTTTCTTTTCATCCCTACCCGTGTTCATCAGTTTTCTTAGACATTTGTTTTTACCATTAAGTACTTTGTTGACCATCGCAAACTACTGGACGTAAATTTGCCTAGAAAACCCACACAACAGCCAGGGGCTGTTGGGGTTGGTTCTGCAACGTCCTGTAAAGGATACGCAACTAACCTAACTTTGTTGACTGGCGTGGACTATCTTTTTCTCCATGCATTGCGATCTAACACAACTTGTAATAGTTCACGTGCTGGTGTTACCGTTAGAAAAGGAGAATAATGTAAAATAAGTTGTTGTACGATTACAAACACATAGAAAGACTGATACCAATAGACTATATATTTTGAATTTGATGCATACGTAGTACAAGGATACTTACATCGTAGAGGACAACAACAAGCCAGAGAGAGAGAGAGAGAGAGAGAGAGAGAGAGAGAGAGAGAGAGAGAGAGAGAGAGAGAGAGAGAGAGAGAGAGAGTGAAAGCGTATTTGTGTTTAAGATCCTAACTGACATATCCCTAGCGCCCTTCTGGTGGCTCTTACCTTCTCGCCAATTTCCGTGAGGTCGCCGGCCTCAAGTATGCTTAGATCCCTGTCCAACTGGCAAGCTTTGACCACCTGCCTGTAGCGGCGTTTGTTGAACGCCTTGCCAAACAGAATATTGTCCCTAATAGAGGCGTTCTGGATCCAGGCTTGCTGAGGCACGTAAGCTATTGTACCCTGAATTTAAAAAAAAAGTGATTTATAAAGCAAAGAACATGTCATAATGAATACTGGCTGTAGTGGCCATGTGCCTCTCTTTGGAAATATTAATTAGTTCATGTAATCCCGACCACTGTCAGTAAGCCAGGAGAAGGGCCTATTTCTAACCTTCATGCCCTGAAATCGAAATCATGGTAAATCGACGACCGTAGAAAGTGTTGACTAACCTCTAAGACACAGAGTTGCATCCTAATGTTAAGAAAACAATAATTACCTAAGGTGTGGACACAAAACTGAAATGCCAGTAGCAAGCTAGTCATTGCCCACAAGTCGCCTAGACTAATTTTTGCACAGTATTACTTTGCTGCACCATTTATTGCTTCCCTGCTCTATTTTTCTCCCTCCCTCGACCCTTCCCCCGCACAGCAGCTAAGTCTCCTGCGAAAGAGTGTCGCAAAAAAAAAAAAAAAAAAAACGTGAATTTCCCAACTCCAGCGGCGACTCTCAGCTATCTATCAGCGGAAAAAAGGTGTACACGTGTAATAATAAAATGTTAACAAAGAATAACAAACAACAGACTGCACAATTTATTGCCTGCCATATTTCGCTATATCTCGTCAGGTGCATACTACAGTTAACAACTACATAAATGAAGCAAATAACTGAATCCTTTACAACTGAAGTACAAATTCAACAACGATCAATCGCAACTGCCTGTTTTACCAGGGCAGCCGCAGTGTCATAATCATGTCTTTTTGTGTACAAAGTTCAGGTCGCAACTAACGAATCGAAGCGGCTTCAAGAAATCCTAGCGTTCTGTCATCGGCTGACGTGTGAGACAATTGTGCAGATTATTGTTTGTGTCTTTGTTCAAATTTACGATGGAGAAAAATTGCTTCGAAATCCTAAAATTGTTTGTGTCCGAAGGGAAGACTTTGCAGGTCAGGAATAACACAGCTGATAAACTTCCGGTCAAAATGGACGCCAGGCGCGGTTACTGTTTCGCGTCGAGGAAAATATTTTGCTTCGGTGGCCGTTGCATTTTTGATCCATTTGTAGATCAGTAGAATACAGTTTCGTCGCGCCAGCTACTGAGTTGAGTGCATGGGGCGACCCTGTGAGCAGCGGATTTCATGTGGAATGTTTTTCGACTGTGACCAACGTGGTGTTGTGAACTGTAGATTCAGAAAATGGCCCGTGGCTTGTCGCTGCAATATTTATTATGTGATTAATATTGACCGCGTGCGCAATTGCTGATCTGTTGGCGACTTCTGCTACCGTCGATGATGAACTGCATTTCTAATGACAAAGTGTTTGTGGTAGCACTTCTGATGGCTACCGTATGCTTTTAAGGCGTGTGTATGCTAGTGCATATGCTGAAACAGCATTCTGTCAATCTTTCCACAAGGGACTGCGACGAACATTATGTGTGTTTTTCGTTGGCACAGGAGCGGAGCAATTATGGGGTGATTCATTTACTATGAAGCTAAAACTAAGATTACCAGCACAGCTGACCCAACCCGTCGGTACACTGTCTGCAGTTTCTATTTTATTTCACAAGTTATTGATAAACCGTTTATATTATCCAATGATTAGGTAGTGTTTTACTGTTATACGTTGAAACAAACAAGATTAAAATAACATATTGCACAATTTAGTATAAATAACATAACCAATCGCAGACATCTACACTTTGCTGAAGAGGTCACAATAACACGTTTCCCTCTAAAGTTGTGCGGGGGAAAAAAACATGTATGTGAACCTTGTGTAATCCTGGTAACACATACAGTTGACATCGTTCATTTGTTGCTTCATTTTAATTATTTATTTTTTCGCATACACCTGACTAGATACAGCAAAAAGATCACTACTATTTTTTGCTCGTTTCTTATTTGTTCAGACAAGAGAGTAGTTGGCTCCTGTCAGGTAACCTAGATGAAAAAAAAAAAACCAGTTTACTTTGCTGAATGTTGTGAACAAATCCGTAAGTGCCCCATGGAACGTGAACTAAAAAAGACAAAGGCTTAGAATATTTATTTCTCAACGAAAAGTTTCCACAAGGTGAGCATACAACGTATACCTAATACCTGGGAAACATGCTCTGGGTGTTTCACTATGCATATTCCCAGACTGCAAATGACTTTTGGCCAAGGCTCATGTATCGTTAAAGAGCAAATAAATATTAGAAGGTTAACTTCCAGCTGTACAAACCTTTACTGTTATTTTTCCTTGAACTTTCTGCATCTCCCCGAGGATTGCTGAGACCAGAGAGCTTTTCCCGGATCCCACTGGACCAACAATGGCAGTCAGCTGACCACACGGGATATTGGCATTAAGACTGTTGGAGAAAAGAGACAAAGTACGAGGCAGAACTACAGAAAATGGTTTCTCAGAAGTTTGACTGAAGTATAGAGACATTGACATTAACCTAAGACCTTCTAGTAGCCGCAGTGGTATATTGGCTAGACACTTGATTATTGATCTGAAGGTCGTGGGTCGGGTCCTGACTAAAATCCTGATAGAGTTCTTTGGAACTCCAAATAACTTTTCTTAGTAATCATATGATGCAATACGCCTATGTCGATAGAAAACAGAGAACTACAAGGAAGGATAAAACAGTATATAACAAGAGCAAAGAATTTAAATACGATTCTTCTTCTTTTTCTTTCGTTCGCTTCAAATAGATGATCTATATCTGCGATGTTGTTCCTAGTATGTACTTCAGTGTCTGGTGTAATTTAGATATCCATCCTGTCCACGAGTCAGTCATTTGGTGAGTATCATTGTGATCTACAGATATAGATATATTTCCTCAAGCGTTTGCGCGCGGCATCCTGATTGTTGTGGTGCATGTCCTGGCTGGTTGCCTCCGACTTCATCACCTTATTTTAATTATCTTGGTAAGCTAGATCGACTTATTGGAATATGGGACTGAAATTTCCCAAAGGCAGGTCACACAATCTGGCTTTCACGTATATTTTTATTTTTCAAAAGTACACTCACAATATGTTGAGCTTGGCAATCTATACTCCTATAAAATGTTGCAATCAATGCAATAATGGGTGCAATATTAAATTATCAAAAGCAGGTGATCGTCTTCTTCTTCTTCTTCTTCAGCATTTCGAGCCCTTAAGGTTCATTGCTGCAGATATCACCCGCCTCCATTCATCTCTCTGGTTGGCCTTCTCCTTCCAGTTGGTGACACCAAGTATTTGCAGGTCTGCCTAGACATTATCTCTCCGTCGTCTTCTTGGTCTGCCTCGTGGTCTACCACCATTCATCTCCCTTGTGTACACAGTTTTCACTTCTCTGTCATCTGACATTCTTTCAATATGCCTCAACTAATTCGGTCTATTAGCTCCTGTGATGCCAGTGATCAGTGGTGCTTTAAACAGATTATGAATTTCGTTGTTTCTCCTCACTCTCCATTCCCCGCTGTTTGCATCCTTGATGGGTTGGAAGATTCGTCGTAAGACTCTGTTTTCGAAAACCTGTATTGAGGCTTCATCTCTTCTAGTTGTGCTTCAAGTTCCAGAATCATATAACACAACTGGTCTTTTCAACGTTTTATATATTTGGATCTTGGTGTTGCGAGACAGACCTTTCACTTTAGCAGATGTTGAAGGGCATAGTATACTTTATTTCCACAATAAATTCTAGATTGTATTTCTTCTCTCAACACTTTGGTACAGTTTAAGTTTGCACCCAAGTAATTATTTGTTTGCGTTCGTTTGATATTCTATTATCGACTTGCATATGGCAGGAGTTTATATCCTTTCCCTGTCTAGTTGTTATTATGTATTCTGCCTAATTTTGATTATTAAGTAGTCCCATTTTCTGAGCTGATTACAAGCAGATAATTAACAGGATTATCCACAATGAAAAAATGAAAGCTCTAAATAAATCCTAAATATAATCTAGAAGGCTGAACAGGAAATGACTTATTAAATGCCCACCACCACCACCACCACCAACCTCTCTTTTGGTCGTCCATTGCGTTGAATCCCCTAAACTGTTTTGGTGCCTCGACATTCCTCAGTATTCTTCGCAATGAGTTTCTAAAGACGGGGTAATGACTTCTGCTACGGATATCGACTAATTTTTGTAAGACGTTTTCTTTACCCTATTTAACTGTACATAGTATTCTCATCATTATTTTGTATCGCCATAAAACCAAGCATCCAGAATCTACACACAATTTCTTACTAATCCACTGCTTGTCCAGTACTGACTTCCCAAAGAGTTCTCGTTCTTACTTAATTTCCGTTAAAATCATACCAATTTCTAGCAATACCTCATGAGTTAATTTCTCCCCGTGTGGGTTATAGGGGAGACTAGAATAGACTCCCTGCCTCCCGAACAAGCATGTCGTAAGAGTCGACTAATTAGGGGTTTCCTTCGAAGTCAAGCGGCGTCCGTGATCGAAACTCACAGCTGGCTGCGAGGATTTTTTAATGATGGCATGGGGCATCGCAGGTCGACCCAGCCTAAAATGGTTACCATAGTGTATGTTATGATGAAGTAAAGACTACCGGTGTAATGCTGACCACATTACCCATCTAGTGCCGATTGGTCTGTAAAAATGTGGATGTTTTTACCATCTGCCTGATGCGCCTAGTGGCGTGAAAAGAGGTCTTTACTTTTTTTAACCTTTAAGTCTGAGTGCATCTGCCTGAGAGGCAAGAAACTAACACTCTGCATACAAATAAGCCGGATGTGTAAAACAGATGTGCACGTAACACTCAGGTTATGGAACAAAAGTTTAAAGAGGAACGAAAAGCCAGAACTTTCCCCTGGAGTTTGCAGATATTGAACTCGAAGAGGAAGAACATACCAAGCACAACCTAATTAGACGGTGGACATGGAATAACCAAACAGGATCTGAAAAGGGAACATAATGGGCTGAGAAAATGATGACGAAAAACCCAAAAACGAACATTGGTAAGAGAGGTACAGAGATGCTGTACTGGAGCCTATCCATGATATTAAAAACATTGCAGTTGATAGAACGGAACGGAAGTATAGATGGCGAACACTTTGTGATGAATAAGAAATAACAGCAGAACATGCAACTACGACGATGATGATGATGACTACAACAAAGATGAAAATCATATTTATGGCACATAGTTTTTGGCCAACACTTTGGTAACAACTTACTTCCAGAGACTTGGCTGCAGAGAGGGGTCCCAAGTAAACGTACCGTCCTGTATTGAAATGGCGTGCTCTGAAATATTTTTTATTGGAAAAAAAAAAAAAAGAAGACAGTAGGGAAGGATTTTCGCGACAAGAAAACATAGTTTAAAATACAATTTAGTATTCTCATTTGACACTTTACGCCTGATCCTTTGGTACAAACTGCAATGGTAGCTGCGATAGTCGAAGTCTAGAATAATTTGTTCACCTGAAGTTGAGCTGAGCTGATTCAAGAACCGACATCACAGCACTCAGATCATTCAAAATACGCCATCCGTTCCCATTTCAGCAGCGATCGCAGCGTTCCAGTACCAATGGAATACCCAAACGTGTTCGGTTAAATTTCATATCGAACAGGATTTTTAACACGTTTAATTCACGTAGGACCTAGTTAGTTAGTTGGGTTATCATCATTACAACTATTAGGAAAAAAGAGTTAGTTGGGTTATCATCATTTCAACTATTAGGAAACATGAAAATTAATAAACCATGCATATTAATAGGTCATGCATATTATACTACTTTCTATGATTGTAAGATAATATATTTTTTTTAAAGTTTCAACTTGATTTCACCTACTAACAGAAAATAGTCAGTATCAGCACCCCTAAAAGCTCCAACATAATAAAAGGATGATCTAAAAAAAAATTATTTTTACATGTATAATCAATTTGATTAGTTCTCTAATGGTCTGGTGTTGACATTGCATGTCAAATTCCTCCTTAACTTATTCATCCTTATCATTTGTTGGTGCATAACACTGTATTCCCGACATGTTCACCTTCTGCTTCGTTGTTCTAAAAACGCTGCTACTATTCTCAGACTAACAGCCTCCTATTCTATTGGTGCCCGCTCTGCCTTATTCGATAGCATCGGGGCCACTCCTTGACTGTGGGTAGTATGTTGCTCTGTGAGAAAAAAGTAGTTTCCCCTTAATTTAGATTACTTTTCGTCGCCCCGGTGTATCTAGTTTCACCTGGTTCTAAAATACTATGCATAAAATTTTGCATTTCCCTTGATACTTATAATGTCCTTACTACATCATACACAATTCTAACATTCCTGATGCCAGTTCTAGAGATTCTCTTAGGTGAAAGAAGCTACGTCGTCGATCCGGACACCTTCCGATTTTCTCAACATTGTGTCATCTTTCTTCTATTATAAGAGCCTTTGCTTATCTTCGTTCGGTAGTGTAGGTTTTTCTTGATAAAAATTTTAAGGCTATCCCCATGTGGGACGCAATATTTCGTTATTTTGAAGCCCCACCACAGCTTTTGCCAAAGGCCGCAATATAGACCGACGGTTGAACGTGGTTTCTGGGATATCTCCAGGGGTGATCCTCGTCCGTATGGTGACACTTTGTGTCACCGGATGTTTATCGCTCTGTGATGTCCTGGTGGGGTAAAACTTACTAAATTACTTTTCCTGTTTCTCTTTTCGACTTTTCCATGGTTGGTTGGTTTTTGTGGCTATTGTTTTAACAGCATGAGGAAGACAACCCCAACCCTACCCTTAGTCGCCTCTGGTGGAGTGCTGTGTTACTGTCAGTTGCTGCCCTTGAGGGCCCCGGTACCACACGGGTGGGGTAAGAAATACGCCTATTGACAATATGACCTCTAAGGCGTGTTGGTAGTTTTTTCAAGAGCTAAAAGAAGACTTTTGCGAACAAATTATTGCTTAGTGGAATAATGTAATAATTCTAGTGCGAGGCATTAGAGTGAGGAAATGGCTTTGGTCCAATTGTGTATGGACGTAAGCGAAATGAGGGATGTATTGACGACTGGTAGCGAGCCGGTGGATCAGCATTGTGTGGCGTGTTAAACTTCATTGCTCTTACTAGGTAACGATGATCCTGCAGAACGCATGGGTTTGTCTATCTGAGCCTGCTCTGAAAAATTCATGTCATTTCACGCGCGTTACTTGGAATCTGCTACGATGCAGAGATATTGTTCTCTGTGTTCGGATAAGATCACAGTAAGTCATCTGTGTTATGTGTTCGGATGAGATCACAGTAAGTCATCTGTGTTATGTGTTCGGATAAGATCACAGTAAGTCATCTGTGTTATGTGTTCGGATGAGATCACAGTAAGTCATCTGTGTTATGTGTTCGGATGAGATCACAGTAAGTCATCTGTGTTATGTGTTCGGATAAGATCACAGTAAGTCATCTGTGTTATGTGTTCGGATGAGATCACAGTAAGTCATCTGTGTTATGTGTTCGGATAAGATCACAGTAAGTCATCTGTGTTATGTGTTCGGATAAGATCACAGTAAGTCATCTGTGTTATGTGTTCGGATGAGATACACAGTAAGTCATCTGTGTTAGTGTTCGGATAGTCACAGTAAGTCTGTGTTATGTGTTCGGATGAGATCACAGTAAGTCATCTTAAGTCATCTGTGTTATGTGTTCGGATGAGATCACAGTAAGTCATCTGTGTTATGTGTTCGGATAAGATCACAGTAAGTCATCTGTGTTATGTGTTCGGATAAGATCACAGTAAGTCATCTGTGTTATGTGTTCGGATAAGATCACAGTAAGTCATCTGTGTTATGTGTTCGGATGAGATCACAGTAAGTCATCTGTGTTATGTGTTCGGATAAGATCACAGTAAGTCATCTGTGTTATGTGTTCGGATAAGATCACAGTAAGTCATCTGTGTTATGTGTTCGCCCGCATAAGTTCTGGAAGACTGTTGTGTTGTCTCGTCTTCGGTGTGCGGAGACGACAGGGGCAACGATATTAAAGACTGTTTCAGGCTATGTACTGATGTCGCAGCAGACCGTTCAGCGTTGATTTAGATTTTGTTCACCGGCTGTATGTTCTGACATGAATGAACAAATGAATGAAGTTCAAACCCAGCAGGACCGCACAACGAGCGAAAAACACCAGGTGACACAAAGTGTCACCATTCGGATGAGAATTACCTGGGTGAATGTCACAGAAACGCCGTTCAACCGTTAGCTTATATTTGGTTTCCTAACAACAGGCGGATTGGGACTTACAAATAACGAAACGTTTTATCTCATATTGTGCCAGTGCCTGAGTTTTGTGTGTAAATACATTTTACTGGTTTGTTTGTGTGCAGCTGAAACCACACGGGGACCGCTGAAACCACACGGGGACCGATGAAACCACACGGGGACCGCTGAAACCACACGGGGACCGCTGAAACCACACAGGGACCGCTGAAACCACACGGGGACCGCTGAAACCACACGGGGACCCTAGAACACATGTGAGGAAGATGAGGGAGCAGTGGGGCAAGTTTACTTATCGTGACATTGCGTAGAGAAGCCACAAACAGCTAACTAAAGCCGGGATGTGTTTGTAGTCTTCTAAAAGAAATACAGGCTACTTTATTACCATTATTTTGAAGCATAGTAAGAGTTTCTTAACATAAATTAGAGTTGTTCCTGGAAATGCTTGTGAGTTTAAGTGAATCTTTTTTGTTAATTATTTGTATGTCCTAAAAAGGTTTTCATAACAAGAGTAAATTTTCTTCTACCACTGCATAAAGTGCTCCTCTTCTAGGTAGAAAAATAAAAAAAAATGTTTAATGTTTTTTTTTTAAATTTAATGTTGGTAATGTTGTGTCTTTAGCAGCATCAAACGTCTATTTCCGAGGCATTCGGGGGAGCTAGAATCAGAACTCGACATCTAAAGCGGCAAAAGATTAAATAACAGCAAAGTTTTTTTTGTCTCTAAATGATTTATGAGAAATGTCTTTCAACTACCTACCTGCATCAGGATTGATTGCCATGGCTGATTCATCAAGATTGTCAGTCAGCAGAAATTCGTGTATCCGTTCAAACGAGATGTATATCTGGCAGCAGGGGTAAAAAGCTGATTATTTTTGTTTTTTTAGATGGAAGCGAAGCGAAAACCACAAAACAGTTTTCTCTCCGCCAGTTAAACCCCCCCCCCCCCCCCCCCCCAAAAAAAAAAGCTGTGTTGATGCTCTGAGTCACCTCTCATATATAGTGCTAGCGATATACTTAATGAACCTATTGCCCTCGATGGGCGGTGCTATCAAAGAGATCTTATAATCCCCCCTCCCCCCTCCTTCCATGGGTTGTAGTATTTGTAGAAATTACTTTATAAATGATAGTTGACCCACCTGATGCTTGACATGATGGTGAACATTGTACCTTTATCTCCCTTGTCATTCCGAATCTTGCGGTTCTTCGTTATATTTATTGCCCACCTGCCTTCATCTTTATAAAAGAGCTTCTCTTTTCAGTTTGTGATGCAGATATTCGTTTGTTTTGCCTTTACAAAAGTTCCAGAGGATCGACTTCATTCCACCGGGTTTTATCCTGTATGGCTTGTTATCTCTCCACAAAAGGCTAGTTACTCTCGTTCATCTCTTTTATGTAGGCAGTGTTTCTCTATGTTATCTGCCATTCCAATTATGTGTCCCACCAACTGCAGTCTATTAGCTCCAAGTAATTAGTATTAATTTAAACACATAAGGAATTTCGTTATTGCTTCATACTTACCACGCCCGAATATTTCTTTATTCCGAATATATTATATCGAGAACTGAGAATGTAAAGAGTTCGCCGTTCACATCGGCTAGTCCAGATACTAAATATAAATGGTTCAGTGAAAATATTTCATCCTCCGTCTCTGTCCTTCATAGATAATTTCTGCATCCATAACTAAGAATCTGTTTTACGATACCCGGTAAGTAAAGATGTATTCGAATGCTAAACCATGTCTACAGACCGACAGCTGGTGGTATAGTAGTAGTAGTAATAGAAGGAGAAGAAGAAGTAGGAGGAAGCGAGGAGGAGAAAAAACTTTGTTTGAAGAGCCAATGTTTTCATGGTTTCTGACTTGTAGTTCTCTGTGAGAAAAGTAAGGATACACTTGATAAAAGGAGTAAATGTGTTTACCTGGACGACATTTTTGATCAGCAGTTTCATACAAATGAGTGGGATCCTCATCAGGTTGAAGAGAGACAGTGTTACAAATGCTGTCTTGGCGTCCAGCACACTCTCTCTGTCTACTAAGAGATAGACTGCAAATACGGCAACGTTGGACTAGAACAGAAAAAGGAGAAATAGACAGATATATTATTAGGCGTTCAGAAAGTAATACACTCATTAAAAAAAAAATTTGTAAGGAACTTTTCATACAATAAAAGCATGAACTTTATAAACAATATACATTGATGTGTTCTGTAACACAATTCCCATAAACTTATACAGCGTGTACTTGTACAGCCAGTGTTTTGATCACTATCCATTTCTTCGCTGCATAAAAGATTCATTTCACCTCTTCAAACCTTGTCCCACAGAGTCAATCTTTATGTGGACCAAATTGAAGAAAATCAGAGGGTGCAAAATCTAGACTATAAAATGGATAGGGTAGTACAGTGTAATTCACTTTGGTGATTGTCTTTCGTGTTGCCAGAGCGATAAAGATCAAAACTGCAAGATTTGATGGACATAACTGTAACATACAATCAAGACAGGAATCTTAGTTTGATCAGCAGAAAAATAAAACACAAATTATTATAATTACAAAAAAAAAAAAAAAAAAAAAAAAAAAAAAAAAATGGACCCGCTAAAATGCAATATAAAAGTAGAAAGGACAATCCTCTGGCAAGTTGATACCTTTAGGTATTTTTGATACCCTGCGAACAGCAAAGGGAAGATGAATTTTTGATACCCTGCGAACAGCAAAGGGAAGATGAATTTTCGATACCCTGCGAACAGCAAAGGGAAGATACATTTTTGATACCCTGCGAACAGCAAAGGGAAGATGAATTTTTGATACCCTGCGAACAGCAAAGGGAAGATGAATTTTTGATACCCTGTGAACAGCAAAGGGAAGATACATTTTTGATACCCTGTGAACAGCAAAGGGAAGATTGATTTTTGATACCCTGTGAACAGCAAAGGGAAGATGAATTTTTGATACCCTGCGAACAGCAAAGGGAAGATGAATTTTTGATACCCTGCGAACAGCAAAGGGAAGATACATTTTTGATACCCTGTGAACAGCAAAGGGAAGATGAATTTTTGATACCCTGTGAACAGCAAAGGGAAGATACATTTTTGATACCCTGCGAACAGCAAAGGGAAGATGAATTTAAATAGTTAGCTGCATTAAAGCCCAAGCAAAGGCATAATTTTACAAAGTGAAGAATCTACGAACCCCCCCCCCCCCCCCCCCCCTCCATTTTCCCTAATTGTCATTTGTATCTCTCATCTATTGAGGATAATGCAACACCCATTTGGTGTGTCTTGTGTATACCCCAAAATTACTCGCATGGCTTCTTTTTGTATGCGTTCCATATTGTATATTTGGGTGTGATATAATGTTAGCAGTCGCAAACCATACTCCGTCTGCGAAATAACCAGTGGTCACGTGCAAAAGGGTTGATCTTCTGACAGCTGTGGCTAAATCGACCCTTTTACACTTTTCATAATTTCCTGACCCACACCGGACTGAGGGTTCCACATGGGCAACACTTCGTGTAACCGTAACAGGTGCCCTAGACATAACTTCCTTAGTTAGTGAGTTAGTTTTATCCCACCAGGACATCACATAGAGCGATAAACACCCAGTGACACAAAGTGCTACCATGCGAATGAGGATCACCTGTGGAGAGGTCCTAGAAACCGCGTTCAGCCTTCAGGCTATATTGGGCCCCAGGCAAAAGCCCGGGTGGGGCTTCAAAATAACAAAACTGCGTCCCGAATGGGGACGACCTTAGTTAACGTTTAATCAAGGTCCGACAATAAAGTAATGAGACTAATTTTTTTATGGCCAAGACAAAAATGCCATCTACGAAGCAAAGCATGGAATCCAAAGAAGCAACATTCGTCTATGTTATGGCAACTTTTTATCAGCGCTCGATAGGCAGACAACAAACAAGCCGCCATTTTGTTGACATAGTGACAGCTGCATTGTTACGTAACCAGCACTGAGAAAAAAAAGCTAACATTAAATTCTTTTTAAAACTCAGAACAAAAAAGCGCAATTTAAACAGTTGAATTGATGCAACACGTTCATGGGGATAATTGTTTATCTCGTGCACACATTTTCAGGCGGTATTCACGATTCAAAAGTGGTGTGGAAATGATTACTAATGCACCTAGATCTGGACTCTAAATTTCTATTCGTAATGATGAACCCATTGCGAAAGTCAGAGAGCGGATGCAAGAAGATCATTGTTTTACTTTGAGGATGATTGCAGATTAATATGCTGGTAATAGGGAGACCATTCATAACATTTTAAGGCAAGATTTTGGCAAGAAAGAAAGTTGCTTGCCGGTTTCTACCACATTCGTTGTCTGACGACCAAAAACATCAGTGGGTTGAATACCCAAGAGACATCATCAAAATATGAATTTTTGACCCAGAAACAAGTGTGTGTTCTCAGCCATTCACCCTATTTCCCAGATTTGTCTCCCTGTGATTATTTTTTTGATACCCTGATACAAAAATTTAAGACACGATTGAAAGGACGCTTCTTTAAGGATAATAATTACAACCAAAGGGCAGTAACATCAACTTTAAGAGCCATAACAACAGAAGAACTACAGAAATCGTTCCAGTGTTAGTTAGATCGTGTCGCTTGCTGTATCAATGCACGAGGGGCTTACTTTAAATAAAATACAGGTTGTATTTTCAATTGTTGATTAGTTTAAATTTTATGAAATTAGTCTCATTACTTAACTGTCGGAGCTTGAATATTACTTCCTTAGTGGCTGAATAAGGTTCCCAGAGTTTGAAGAGTGTTTTTTTTGGGGGGAGGGGGGTTTGAGTTAGCAGTCGGAGGGGAAAAACACACATTCAAACCTTTACCTCAAGTCGCTGGCGTGTCATGGATGTACAAGATAAGTTACGATACTAACCAGAAATGGTGCGACTCCCATGATTGTCTCAGAAATTGCAAACAGATGGTAGACTTTTTTCAGCAGCGTTATCTCCCCGGACCTGATTTTCTCAGCTTGGTTCTTGAACTGGTTCTCCCAAGCGTAAAGCTTGAGAACCTGCATTATTGAAAGGAAAGCACACCTTGTTGATTTTAAAGGTAAAGGACCCTTTTCTACGCCTTCATGTGTACTGGGAATATATGTCTAGAACTATGGGTGATGGTGTGGTCAGCATAATTTTAAAGGACTTTACCTGTTACCCATCTAAGGCTGATTCCGACTGGCAGGAAAGGTCATTCACAATTTTTCTTCAGCGTTCAAAATCAGCCATGCTAAACATTTAGTCGCGTCTGAGTAACAATCAGGACTATGAGTCTATGGTGGCCGCCGGTCCCAAGGACAGTGAATCTATGATGGCCCCCGTCCCAAGGACAGTGAATCTATGTTGGCGACGGTCTCAAGGACAGCGAATCTATGGTGGCCGCCGGTCTCAAGGACAGTGAATCTGTGGTGGCCGCCGGTCTCAAGAACAGTGAATCTATGGTGGCCGACGGTCCTAAGGACAGTGAATCTATGGTGGCCGCCGGTTCCAAGGACAGTGAAGCTATGTTGGCGCCGGTCTCAAGGACAGTGAATCTATGGTGGCTGCCGGTCTCAAACACAGTGAATCTATGGTGGTCTCTGGTCTCAAGGACAGTAAATCTATGGTGGCGCCGGTCTCAAGGAATCTGTAGTGGCTGACAGTCCCAAGGACAGTGAATCTATGGTGGCCGCCGGTCCCAAGGACAGTGAATCTATGGTGGCCGCCGGTCTTAAGGACAACGCATTTATGGTTCCCGCCGGTCCCAAGGACAGTGAATTTATGGTGGCCGCCGGTCTCAAGGACAGTGAATCTATGGTGGCCGCCGGTCTCAAGGACAGTGATTCTATGTTGGCGACGGTCCCAAGGACAGTGAATCTATGGTGGCGCCTGTCTCAGGGACAGTGAATCTATGGTGGCGCCTGTCTCAAGGACATTGAATCTACGGTGGCCACCAGTCTCAAGGACAGTGAATCTGTGGTGGCTGTCGGTCCCAAGGACAGTGAATCTATGGTGGCCGCGGGTCCCAAGGACAGTGAATCTATATTGGCGCCAGTCTCAAAGGCAGTGAATCTATAGTGGCCGCCGGTCTCAATGACAGTGAATCTATGGTGGCCGTCGGTTTCAAGGACGGTGAATCTATGGTGGCGCCTGTCTCAAGGACAGTGAATCTATGGTGGCGCCTGTCTCAAGGACAGTGAATCTATGGTGGCCGCCGGTCTCAAGGACAGTGAATCTGTGGTGGCTGACGGTCCCAAGAACAGTGAATCTATGGTGGCCGCCGGTCCCAAGGACAGTGAATCTATGGTGGCCGCCGGTCTCAAGGACAGCGAATCTATGGTGGGCGACGGTCTCAATGACAGTGAATCTATGGTGGCCGCCGGTCTCAAGGACAGTGAATCTATGGTGGCCGCCGGTCCCAAGGACAGTGAATCTATGTTGGCGCCTGTCCCAAGGACAGTGAATCTATGGTGGCGCCGGTCTCAAGGACAGTGAATATGTGGTGGCCGTCGGTCCCAAGGACAGTGGATCTTTGGTGACCGACGGTCCCCTAGAGCTAGGTGTAGACTTGATGAGACTCTAAGCTATAAAAAACCATGAGGCTCCTAGTGATTTGAATTACAATATAATCTCCAAAAAAAAAAAAAAAAAAAAAACTTCAAAATAAATATACTTTAAATTATATGAATAATTAAACTATATTTTTAATTAATTTTTACTCAAGGAAACAATAAGGAATGTGTTTGAAAGATCACAGAAATTATATAATGTCTAAAAAGCTCTATATATATGCACATACGCTTAATAGGCTATAATGTAGGGCCTCACAATCTACAGGGGTCTTAAAAAATTTCTTTTTTTAAATTTGTATATATATATATATATATATATATATATATATATATATATATATATATATATATATATATATATATATATATATATATATTCACAGCAATGCTATGCAGTGCAGCTCCGTTCCCGGGCCTCTACTAGCAGAAGCTAGGGCAACCCAAAGAGGCAACCATCTTAATACTAATTCCCACAATTGTGTGACGTGACTCTAATTTGTAGTATAACAATCGTAATAATGTGGGAACATTTGTCAAATAAACGTTTTAATTTCACAAATTCATTCTCGTGAATGAGATGTCTAAAAAGGGCTGCATGGATGACAAGAGATCATATCAGCTATGCAGTCATAAGGGGGAACAGTCGGCATAGAACCAAATCTAAATTACATACAAAGGCAGCAAATAAAATGGTTTTCCTATTTAAAATGTCTCGTGGCACCATAACACACAGGGCATACACTAAAACAAAGAAGAGAATGAAACAAAAAGAGTAGAGTTAGACTAAGGACATGATAGGACGGTAACAACAGAGGAACTCTACAGCCGTATGATGTGTCTGTTGTCAAGGCGGTCAGAGGAGTAAGAAGCAGTACCTTGTATCACATATCCACGCGCAAAGTGATAAAAGACAAGGTTGATAGGAAGAGAATACAAGAATAAGCAATAGTAGGTAAATAGGTAAGTAGTTGTACCCCACCAGGACATCACACAAGCGATAAACACACGGTGACACAAAGTGCCATCAGGCGGATGAGGATCATCCGTGGAGAGGTTCCAGAAACCTCTTTCAGCCGTGAGGCCATATATTTCTATGATCCAGCTATATTCAGGGTCCCCGGCAAAAGCCAGGGTGGGACTTCAAAATTGCATGCCACATGGAGACGACTAAAAAATGATATAAGGCAATAGTAGCAACACTAGTTAAATAGCACGAAGAACCTTGGGCAAAGCCCTGGTACCCTAATTAAATTAAAAATCTTGAGATCATGCACTTTTCCTGTTGCGACTTATGGTTGTGAGTCTTAGACTCTCACCTAGTCACTGAGGAAACAGACCGGAGCTTTTAAATTGAAATGTTATAGAAAAAGTATCAGAATACCATGGATCATGAAGAGGAAAAACATCAACATTCTGAACGAGTTCAACATCAAGGAGACCTGGCTCATAAACAGCATCTTGTCACGAAAGTTGAAGTATTTTGGCCACATCAAGCGGCATGATGGCTTGGAAAAGACAGTGATGGAAAGTGCAGTTTGTAGAAGGCGAGGCAGTGGAAGATGGATGCAGGACATTGAAGATGCATTGGCATTGAAAGCACATGGAGATAGAGAGCTGGCTAGGCAAACGGATACCTTAAGGTGTGCCGTAAAGATGGCGACGTTCTATAAACGACTTGATGATTGATGAGCAATACTAGCAACAGATATATTAGTAGCATCAGCAACATCTACGACTCACCTTCATGGAATTTAAGATCTCATCCATCAATTTAATCCTCTTGTCCTTCAAATGCATGACGTCTTCCTGGATCACCTTCTGTTTGCTGACAATCCAAGTGTTGACGACAACTGACACCACAATGGTGACAATACCGATGATCATTGGAAGCCCTAAACATAGAGAAGAATGACTATACTGGTGTTTATCGAGGGCCCCAGAGAGTTGGTGGTTATATAGGGCCATCATGAGGTTAAAAAAAAGAAACTAGTATACTGGTGATTATTCAAGCTCCCAGAGAAGTAAAAGAGTAAGTATACGGGTGGTTATCGAGGGCTCTGTATAGTTAGAAGAATGAACACACTGGTGAATATTCAGGGCGCCAGACAGGTAAAAAAATGACTACACTGGTTATTATCGAGGGCACCAGAGAGGTAAAAGAATGATTATACAGGTGATTATCGAGGCCCATGGCGGGACATTGTTCAAAAAAGCAGGAATGCCAACAATGCGCTTCCTACTGAGGCTAAGACGCCTGCGTTAGTTGGTGCATTCTCCAGCATGGAGGACGGTCGCCTTTCAAAGGATCTCCTGTGGTGAACTGTGTGTGTTTTTTTTTTTTATAAGACCAGCAGAAAAGCCAAAGCTATGCTGTAAGGATGTATACAAACGCGACCTAAGAAATATCAACAAAGGCACAGGCAGTTGGAAGAGATCAGCTGCACACCGAATCATGTAGAGGCATACAGTGAAAGACGAACTGTCGCAAACTTTTAAAATAAAAATGCGGCAAGCTATAGAGATGAGAGAAAAAAAAAAAAAAAACGCTATCACAACAACAGAGTATCAACGTTTCTTGTACACTCTGTAGTAGAGAATGCCACTCTTGTTTTGAACTTTAGAGTCATAACAAACGCTGTTCCCAAAACCAGCAAAACAACTCCATGGTTCCCAGGAAGTGACGGCTGCCTAATATCGAGGGCCCCAGAGAGGTAAAATAATGACTTTACTGGTGATCATCGAGGTAAAATAGTAACTTTATTGGTGATTATCGATGGTCTTAGAGAGGTATACTAATGACTATTCTTGTGATTATCAATCGCCTCAGAGAGGTAAAATAGTAACTTTATTGGTGATTATCGATGGTCTTAGAGAGGTATACTAATGACTATTCTTGTGATTATTAATCGCCTCAGAGAGGTAAAATAGTAACTTTATTGGTGATTATTGATGGTCTTAGAGAGGTATACTAATGACTATTCTTGTGATTATCAATCGCCTCAGAGAGGTAAAATAGTAACTTTATTGGTGATTATCGATGGTCTTAGAGAGGTATACTAATGACTATTCTTGTGATTATCAATCGCCTCAGAGAGGTAAAATAGTAACTTTATTGGTGATTATCGATGGTCTTAGAGAGGTATACTAATGACTATTCTTGTGATTATCAATCGCCTCAGAGAGGTAAAATAGTAACTTTATTGGTGATTATTGATGGTCTTAGAGAGGTATACTAATGACTATTCTTGTGATTATCAATCGCCTCAGAGAGGTAAAATAGTAACTTTATTGGTGATTATCGATGGTCTTAGAGAGGTATACTAATGACTATTCTTGTGATTATCAATCGCCTCAGAGAGGTAAAATAGTAACTTTATTGGTGATTATCGATGGTCTTAGAGAGGTATACTAATGACTATTCTTGTGATTATCAATCGCCTCAGAGAGGTAAAATAGTAACTTTATTGGTGATTATCTCGAGGGTCTTAGAGAGGTATACTAATGACTATTCTTGTGATTATCAATCGCCTCAGAGAGGTAAAATAGTAACTTTATTGGTGATTATCGATGGTCTTAGAGAGGTATACTAATGACTATTCCTGTGATTATCAATCGCCTCAGAGAGGTAAAATAGTAACTTTATTGGTGATTATCGATGGTCTTAGAGAGGTATACTAATGACTATTCTTGTGATTATCAATCGCCTCAGAGAGGTAAAATAGTAACCTTATTGGTGATTATCGATGGTCTTAGAGAGGTATACTAATGACTATTCTTGTGATTATCAATCGCCTCAGAGAGGTAAAATAGTAACTTTATTGGTGATTATCTCGAGGGTCTTAGAGAGGTATACTAATGACTATTCTTGTGATTATCAATCGCCTCAGAGAGGTAAAATAGTAACTTTATTGGTGATTATCGATGGTCTTAGAGAGGTATACTAATGACTATTCTTGTGATTATCAATCGCCTCAGAGAGGTAAAATAGTAACTTTATTGGTGATTATCTCGAGGGTCTTAGAGAGGTATACTAATGACTATTCTTGTGATTATCAATCGCCTCAGAGAGGTAAAATAGTAACTTTTTTGGTGATTATCGAGGGTCTTAGAGAGGTATACTAATGACTATTCTTGTGATTATCAATCGCCTCAGAGAGGTAAAATAGTAACTTTATTGGTGAATTTTGAGGGTCCCAGAGAGGAAAAATAATGACTATACATACTGGCGATTTTTGAGCGCCTCAGAGAGGTAAAATAATGACTATACTGGTTAATATCGAGGGCCCCAGAAAGGTAAAAGCTATACTGGAGCCTCTCTTTAATATGATTAACCAAAAACATGACTCCATTTCTTGCTGTTATTTCAGCTGGGAGGGGATAAACGTCACGCACACACGCAATGTTCAACCCTTTGCGTTTTCATTATTTAGACAGCTAAAAAGATGTCTTCCATGCCATCATTTTAATCCACGGACTATTACAGATATCGAAATTAATTTTTTTTTTTACAGTTTTGAATGCTTTTTGTTGTTGTTGACAAATTAATATTGCAACAGTGTATTGCAAACATAAACACACTTGCGATAAGCTGGCGGAGGAACGCCGCGAACTTAATTATCCAAGGCAGTATGAGAAATGATGCAATCAGACAGACTGTGGGAACAAAATCGTGCACCAGTGTTGGAACAATTGGTTTAGTGTCTCTGTGTGGTTCCGGGGCCCCACTGGGAAGAAAACAAGAACAGACCCATTGCCTCCCGAACAAGCATGTCGATAAGTAGGGCCATCCTTTAAAGTCAAAGTACATCTACCAGAGAGGCAAGGAACAAGAGTTCGCCTAAAAATAAACCAGATCTGTGAAATGGATGTGGGCGCAATACTCAGGTTCTGAAACAAGACTAAAGTTCGGTGTTGGAGGAACAGTCAGAACTTTGCACTGGCGTTAGCAGCCGGCGAACGTGACAGGGAAAAGCAATGGTTTAGTCATTTTGTTAGAATGCAGCTACAACAACTACTATCACTAGCGCTACACTAAGGAAGATCTGGCGGGAACGCAAGAGTGCGCCCAGTGAGAAGACACAAGTGTTGACAGTAAAGAATTTCTACAATGAAACGGAATGACAGTAGCTAGTTCTACCTGTCAAGCAATGGTACTCAGTTTGTTCCTCTCCTCCAGACGCCTAACTGCAAAAGTGCAAATAGATAATGATTATTAGGACGATGATTGCATGATGACGTTAGAAATCAGTGTGATCTTACCTATAAATATATCTATAGAGCAGAGCTATGACTAAGACACATGATGCCGCTAGAATCACTGTGATCTTACCCATAGATAAATAGAGCAGAGCTGTGACTAAGACATATGATGACGGTATAAATCATTGTGATCTTACCCATAGATAAATAGAGCAGAGCTGTGACTAAGACACATGATGACGTTAGAAATCAACGTCGATCTTACCTATAGATAAATAGAGCAGAGCTGTGACTAAGACATATGATGACGGTATAAATCACTGTGATCTTACCTATAGATAAATAGAGCAGAGCTGTGACTAAGACACATAATGACGTTTGAAATCACTGTGATCTTACCTATAGATAAATAGAGCAGAGCTGTGACTAAGACACATGATGACGTTATAAATCACTGTGATCTTACCTATAGATAAATAGAGCAGAACTGTGACTAAGACACATGATGATGTTAGAAATCAACGTCGATCTTACCTATAGATAAATAGAGCAGAGCTGTGACTAAGACATATGATGACGGTATAAAAAACTGATCTTACCTATAAATAAATAGAGCAGAGCTGTGACTAAGACACATAATGACGTTAGATATCACTGTGATCTTACCTATAGATAAATAGAGCAGAGCTGTGACTAAGACACAGGATGACGTTATAAATCACTGTGATCTTATCTATAGATAAATAGAGCAGAGCTGTGACTAAGACACATGATGACGTTATAAATCACTGTGATCTTACCTATAGATAAATAGAGCAGAGCTGTGACTAAGACACATGATGACGTTATAAATCACTGTGATCTTACCTATAGATAAGTAGAGCAGAGCTGTGACTAAGACACATAATGACGTTAGAAATCAACATCGATCTTACCTATAGATAAATAGAGCAGAGCTGTGACTAAGACATATAATGACGTTGGAAAATAATGCGATCTTACCTATAGATAAATAGAGCAGAGCTGTGACTAAGACACATGATGACGGTATAAATCACTGTGATCTTACCTATAGATAAATAGAGCAAAGCTGTAGCTAAGACACATGATGACGTTAGAAATCAATGTGATCTTACCTATAGATAAATAGAGCAGAGCTGTGACTAAGACACATGATGACGGTATAAATCACTGTGATCTTACCTATAGATAAATAGAGCAGAGCTGTGACTAAGACATATGATGACGTTGGAAAATAATGCGATCTTACCTATAGATAAATAGAGCAGAGCTGTGACTAAGACACATGATGACGGTATAAATCACTGTGATCTTACCTATAGATAAATAGAGCAGAGCTGTGACTAAGACACATGATGACGTTATAAATCACTGTGATCTTACCTATAGATAAATAGAGCAAAGCTGTAGCTAAGACACATGATGACGTTAGAAATCAATGTGATCTTACCTATAGATATATAGAGCAGGGCTGTGACTAAGACATATAATGACGTTGGTAATTAATGCGATCTTACCTATAGATAAATAGAGCAGGGCTGTGACTAAGACATATAATGACGTTGGTAATTAATGCGATCTTACCTATAGATAAATAGAGCAAAGCTGTGACTAAGACACATGATGACGTTAGAAATCAATGTGATCTTACCTATAGATATATAGAGCAGGGCTGTAGCTAAGACAATTTGAACCAAGACCGTGGCCACTATAGGAAACTCCGTCAGGTTCTCCTGAAAAAAAAATTTAGTAGCTTTTATTCTTGTTCATTATTTGTTCTTGTCCTGAATTTCTTCCTTCCCATGTAAGTTCAGTGACCCCATTTGGGGGCGAACTGGACGGGAAGAAAACAGATCCACTGACCCAAACAATCTTGTAAAGTTACGCATTGTTTCAACCATATTAAAAAAACAACTGTAAGGTGAGAACAACACGCATTAAATGCCTCATATTGAAATTTAAACCAGGAAGAACGAATCCTAGTTTATATCATAAAAACGGAAAAACCAAGAGTAAAAAGAAGACCAAGAAGAATATGGACTGAGTGAGTCAATGACACTCTTAAACTTCACAATAACCCAGAATACCAAGAAAACGAGCGCACCATAGTTCAGCTACCTTTAATCTGACAAACCACGACGTCCAGCGGCACACATTTGACAACAAAAACAGCAACAACAAGAAAGAAAGAAAGAAAGAAAGAAAGAAAGAAAGAAAGAAAGAAAGAAAGAAAGAAAGAAAGAAAGAAAGAAAGAAAGAAAGAAAGAAAGAAAGAAAGAAAGAAAGAAAGAAAGAAAGAAAGAAAGAAAGAAAGAAAGAAAGAAAGAAAAGAAAGAAAGAAAGAAAAAAAAAAGAAAGAAAGAAAGAAAGAAAGAAAGAAAGAAAGAAAGAAAGAAAGAAAGAAAGAAAGAAAGAAAGAAAAGAAAGAAAGAAAGAAAGAAAGAAAGAAAGAAAGAAAGAAAGAAAGAAAGAAAGAAAGAAAAGAAAGAAGAAAAAGAAAGAAAGAAAGAAAGAAAGAAAGAAAGAAAGAAAGAAAGAAAGAAAGAAAGAAAGAAAGAAAGAAAGAAAGAAAGAAAGAAAGAAAGAAAGAAAGAAAGAAAGAAAGAAAGAAAGAAAGAAAGAAAGAAACACTAAGCCATGTCACAACGTATAAAATACATATTTCTTCACCTGTATCCTCTGGCAGTCCACGGACATTAGGTTGACAATTTCTCCGACTGTATAGTTTTTCCTCGATGTATAGCACATAAACAAGGCCTGTTTGGATTATCAAACAGATAAGTTTGAAACTACGTTCTTGAAACGTAACTCCACCTACATCTAATATTTATTATATCAGTCTTGGATACAGGCTCGCCAAAGTCCACTGATTCCTACCCGGTCTAGACTTCAGGTTTTCCGTAAACCATTGGGAGTCCCAATAAAACTTTACGGTTGAACGGGGTTAACAGGATTTGTACAAATAGGATTCTCATACTTGAGGAGTTAATCCTGCAGACTGAAGTCTTGAACTGAACAAACGACCTGCCTACCCAACGCACATGACGGGTTTGAAATTCTTGACCTTGGGTTGATTCAGCCTAAAATAGCTGCCGTAAAATGACCCAGGAGATAAAGGCAGCCGTCGTGACGTAGATAAGAGCATCTATCAATTGCTATTTTGTTTTAGAAAATGTATGTTAATTATCATAAACCCCATTCAGACACGGACAATGAGTAGAGTAAATAAATAATAAATAATACCCGTGAAATGAGCTGCCTCCATCCGTCGCCAACGATGCAAGAAAAGGGAGAGTCAAGAAAAGAATACCAGCACTGGAGACATGGTTGGAACAAGACCGTGTTTTTATAACATCGAAAGAGGATGGAGTAGTTTGGCCTTGTAGAAAGAATGCAGTCAGACGAAACTGTACACGAGACCTTCTATTGATGGCCATTAGTGCACGAGAACAACACGAAAACATGGATTAGACAGTGCAGCTGAATCCTGCAAGAATGGTGAACAGTGTCATCCCTCACACCACTCGAGAAGCGCAAGAAAAAATACAGAAAACCCCGCGACAATGGGTTACAACCAGGTCACAGTGTATCTATAAAAGTAGAAGCTGATGCTAGATTATCACCGAAAAATTGGCAGCCAGGACAAAAAACAGAATAAAGCGCACAAGCCTAAACCATCTAACGAAGGAATTTGGAAAGTCATTCTCTTCACTACTTAACCAACAATGTACACCTGAAGAGCTATCTTTCGATCTCTGGGACTCCGAATTATTGACACTCAATGTGTCAACATCCATCCCGAACCTGGGAAACAAAGATGCTGAGCCCGCTTTAGTGAAGAAAGCACTCACAATGGAACACCTCAACAACATGTTCCCACAGGACAGCTGGACAAGAATCTACACGGATGGATCAGCAAAAGAGGCAACTACGAATGGTGGGGCAGGTGTCTATATAAAACACCCAGATGCCACTACTGTGTCCCTAGCAGCCCCCACCGGACGAACTTGCTCTAACTACAAGGCAGAACTCTCAGCTCTATTGATGGCAGCACAGTATATGAACAATCTGCAAATCACCGCAGGCAGGATAGTTTTCCTCACTGACTCACTGTCAGCTGTACAGGCCCTTGAGTCCAAACCTACCGACAGCACACTTCTAAGTATAACACAGGAACTTGCTATGTTGTCAAAAAAGGCAGAAATTCACTTGCAGTGGATTCCGTCTCACTGCGGCATCAAAGGCAATGAAAGTGCAGATGCATTAGCCAAGGAAGGCAGTAACAAACTACAGACCTACCAGCCACTATCTTTTCCAGAAGTCAAAACTCTCATTAAGAGAAAATCAGAAACAGATTGGAAAAACAACACTGGCTATGACTACGGAAAAGATTTTCTGAGGCACTTGAACAGAACAGACCAAGTCACAGTTTTTCGCTTACGCACTGGACACTGCAGACTTAATAAACACTCATATAAATTAGGTATGAGCCAAACAGCTCTCTGCCAGTGTCTTCGTGCTGAACAGACTCCAGAACATTTCCTGCAAGACTGTCCTCTCCTGGCGGAGCTGCGGAGCGACATATGGCAACACCCAGTAGAACTGACAACTAAGCTTTGGGGAAACCTAAGAGACCTTGAAAAGACATCCCAGTTTATGACCCACAGTGGATTATGCGCATGACCAGAGATCGCTGAAGAAGAAGAAGAAGATTATCACCTTTTACTGTTTATTGTTAGGCATGCTAATAATATCGCCCACCTTGATTCTTGCTAGATGTAAGAGGACTAAATGATTCGTTGTCTCTTTAGGTCACTCTTCCACACCCAGGGACCTGTCACTTGAGAACATGACATTGCCACGCTACAGGAATTAGAGTACTTCCACACTTAGGAATCTGTCCCTGGAGATTATGACTGCGTCTCGTTACAGGAATTAGAGTACTTCCACACACGGGAACATGTCAGTGGAGATTATGGTCGTGCCTCGCTACAGGAACATGTGTACTTCCACACAAGGGGACATATCACTGTAGATTATAGCCGTGCTCCGCTACTCCGCTACAGGAACTTATGTCTGCCATCACAGGGACATGTCCCTGAAGAATAACGGCCATGCCTCGCTACAGGAACAAGTGTACTTTCACACACCGGGACATGTCACTGGGGATCATGACCATGCCTCACTACAGAAACAAATGTCTTCCACACACCGTGACATGTCACTGGGAATTCTGACCGCGCCTCGCTACAGGAATTAGTGTACTTTTACACACTGGGACATGTCACTGGAGATTATAACCAAGTGTACTTCCACACACACATCGACCTGTCACTGAAGATTATGACCATGTCTCACTACAGGAACAAATGTCTTCCACACATCGTGACATGTCACTGGGCATTCTGACCACACCTCGCTAAAGGAATAAGTGCACTTCTACACTCAGGGACCTGTCATTGGAGATTACGACCATGCCTCGTTACAGAAACAAGTGGAATTCCACACACCAGGACATATCACTGGAGATTATGACCATGCCTCGCTAAGGGAGCTGGTGTACTTCTATGCATGGTCAAACACCCCAAACGCTGACGAACATTTGTTCCAGCTTCTAGACAACGTTGTCATCTTGACGTGACAAGTTGAAGTTTCAAGTCGAGACCCTTGACTTCATTGCATCGGGCTTTATCTTATATGGCTCGATCTCTCTCCGTAGATCGGAATCACCTGTCAAGTGCATCACACAGAGTACGAACACCGTAGCTCCGGTGATGATCCCGCATGTCTCCGTAAACACTAAGCTCGTGAACCAAGCACAAAAACAACACATGACCTTCACAGCGCAAAGCAAACGGCTTGGCCACTTCGCTACAGAGACATCCTCTTTCCTCCACCCCCATTCCCTGCAGCCCCCTCCCCACCCCAGCCGCCTCCAACCTTTTCACCGAACTGGCAAATTCGAAGTGTGTCTGTTTTTATTTCTGCTGCATCAGTGAGAGTCAATCATTACATCAAAATGTGTATATTAACCGTAATGGCCTCCAGGGTTTCCTGGCAACATTATATGTTGTATTGCATGTGTGAATCTATGTGTGACTGCGTGCGTGTGTGCATGCGTGTGTGTGTCTATGTGCGATTCTAACCTTCTTGTATATCGCAGACAGCAGCACTGTCTTCATGTGCGTCGCTAGCACAGTCGAACTATATCGTGACTGAGACAAAATGAAAGACTTGAATGTGTTGGTAGTCCAGAGAATGAAACACACGCAGTAAACAATCCACCGTCTGTCGGGTCTCGACTGTTGAAGTGTGTCGATAAGAAGA